TTTTTGTTCCGAAATCCGAACGAGTCGGATTTGCACACCTCTAGACTTTCCATTGCAGTCGCTTTGCCCGCGCGGGCGGAGCGGGCTTTGAAAATCTGCTCACGCGGGCGTGACGGGCGTCAAAAACAATGAACGCTTCGCCCGCGCGGGCAAAGCGAACGTTAATGGAAACGGCCTTAAAATGAAATAAATGTTTTTCAACAATCTTATCACACAAACGGAATTCAAGAATAGCTACCGTTATATTATTTAATTTACAAATTCTGTGTTCTATAATCCCTAAATTTTTCCTGTCGGGTTTTGGCAGCATTCATATAATCTTTTTCCAAACTTAACATTTGATTAATCGATGTATGGTGAAATAGATGCATGCATCCAACAAAATAGCACATTGCTCGAGAACTTCGTCAAATATTGCAGAAACAAATTATATCCAATTACTTGATAAAATTTGAACAGACCAAATATCGGATTGGTCATGATTGTGTTGGTTATACACAACATGAAGCAGTTAAGCTTTTATCTATTAAGTAATTGGAAAATGTTGAAGGATTCTTGACATGTATCAAACTAAATGTGAACAGTGATATCTAGCTATCCGAGGTTCCATATAACTATCTTCTTTCCTTTGTCCAGGCAACTGTGATTAAAGTTAGTGGTAGCTTACCTAGGGAGCATTCTCCAAAAATTGTTTTGATTACCTATTCGCCTATTAATACTGTCCAATGCATTTTCAAATTTATTTCTGTATTTTAATGCTTCTTTCTTCTTCTGTAGGACCAACTTTAGCTGTCTCTTTTCAATTCCTTTCGTCTGTTTAAGAGCCATTTTTAATTGTTTCTTTCTAAATTTTCTATCAGTTTGCAATTTACAGGCACTTTTGACTTTTGTGTTTATATTTGTTTTCTTTTTAATAATTTTGTTCACATTATCAGTGTCATCGCCTTTTGGAGTACTGTAAAAAACGTTTGGTGATCGCACTTTTTTTCTTCGTTTTTTCAAAAATTCTGCATGCTCAAACATAAATGGAACAAATTGCTTGAGGCTCCTCTTCGGCCTCAAGGAACGTTCTCTGCGGTTGTTGCAAGTACCTGTTCCTGAAGTTTCATTTCGTCTGTGAAGAACTTGCAACTGGCGAAGTGTTGGCTCAAAACGAACTATTTCAACACATAATTCTTTGCATGTATGCTTACACGTTAAAATTTTCTTGTCAGTGTTGACTTTAGCAGTTTCGTCAGGCAGCATATCAAAAGCAAGTGCGAAACTATCCTCAAAAGAGGTTGATCTATCGTCTTCAAATAAGCTCCTTGATGTAACACTACTTGGCGGAGTTAAATCTAAATCCACCACACTACTGTTTCCACTGGTAAGAGGTGTTTTGACTTCACACACATGTGGCTCAGCAAGTTTTTCCCAGCACAACAAATCATCTCCCATCACGCTGCCTTTTGTCACTTTGTCCTTGTCAATTGTGCTTGGAATTGGCAAGTCCAACAACAAAGACTCTGCTAGACTCAAAGTTTGTGTGGCAGGTTCAATTTGGTCAGAACATAATACATAGTCTTCTTCATTAGATGAAATTTGGTCAGAAATGGATACATTTTCATTGTGACAATTTATGAAAGAGGCCAGCTCCACATTTGTTGTTGTCTGCAAGGTTTTTGATAAGAGTTGTTTGTCTGTGGAGATACTTGATGATAGATCTTGCTTGCAACCTTTGTCAAGTTCTTGATCACTCCTTGGAACATCTTTTAAGCAATTTTCAAGCAAAACAGCCAATTTCACCTTGCCCATACAAAGCATATAATTGCCATGCTGTCTCATCATTTTCTTGCTAGTGGCTGTATTTGTGATTGTACAAATTTCAACTGAAAGTAGAAACAACTAAATTTAATCTCTAACAGAGAGTTACAAAACATGCTAGATATTTTGGTATAGCAAAAATCTGTCAAAAATCAATTATAATCACTTATATAATTATCTGATATTTGTATGTGTTGTAGTTTTCTGTATATTTGTATTAAAATATTCTCTAATGTGATTTACATTTGACTGAATCCACCTGACTGGTTTATTTTTTTGTCATGTGAACCTTAATTTATTATTGGCAATACCTACACTGACCATTTGTATGGACCAAATTTTAAAACTTTACACATAATGCACTAGTCAACAGGGCGGGGAATTAACGGGGACAGGGCCGTGGATTAACACATATTTAATGTAGCATTTCCCCTGAGCTATAGGGTGAATAACGAATCTATAATTCAAGGGGATTAGGTAGCCGGGACTTAAATGCTTGGCTGGAACAAAAGTGGACTGGAACAAGTTTATCCTCGTGGGAACAAGGCAGAATCTTTGCAGTCAGAGAAAGTATTTTATAAATGCATGCACATAGGGGTGGCAACTTTTACAGTCAATATTCTCCGGGTAGCAGGGAAAATACCAATATTTAACACTGTCAAAATGTTAAATCCCCCACCTGGTCCCGGGTGTTCAATTGATTAGTGCATAATATCAAACACAATGTTATCTCTTATATAATGTAAGCATAATCCACCCAAAAATAACTGCAAACAACGTTTTAAGTCAATATTTAAACAAAAATGCAATCTTTCTACGTCTCACATGTTAGTTTTGCGAGTCTTGCACGTTAGTCTGCCTTATTAGGGCCTGTTTATATGGCAGTGAGTTACCTGGCAAGGCAAGTTTATTAGGGCCTGTTTGTATGGCAGTGAGTTACCTGGCAAGGCAAGTTGCTCGCCCAGGTGGGACAAACAAGCGCTCTGTTTATATGGAATCGAGTTACTCAGCATTTGCTGCATGATTGTGCCGCATGATGCCTAAATGGCACCAAAACACAAAAAGGATAAGCGCCGAGAAATTCAGGAAAACTTATCTATTTTGAGCTATTCAATTTCAAATGCAAAGCACATACATTCTATCTCGGGCGGCCGAGTTACCCGGACAAAGTGTTTACATGATAATATATTCATCCCGCCTAAGCGATATCCCGCCTCTTTCTGCCGGGAACTCGCCAAGGCAAGTTACTCGGCTGCATCATGTAAACAGTCACCCGGGATTACTATAATTTTTTATAATAGCCGGGATCTCGCCTTTGACGAGTAACTTGCCTTGCCGGGTAACTCGCCTCCATATAAACAGGCCCTTAATTAGTCTATTGATACAAATACTTACACCTCGTGTCTTCTACAACTTATCTTCAAATATTCTACATTTCTACTTGCCCCAAAATGCATATTAAATCCCCAATAACTATATTCTTATTAAACGTTCCTCATTATATTTAATACCGTTTAATAGAAAATGAGCATGTCTGATTTTTATGTGCAAGACGAACACGCCATAGCCAACCTCAAATGAAACGAAGCGGGAAAACAAACAAGGAAGCGACAGCGAAAAAGCTCCATAATATGAAAATTATATTATATACCGAGTAAATATTATGTGCTCAGGATACAGTATTAAATTCTATAACGAATGATAATATTAAAAATGAGTTTAAGCCGACTAAAAGTGTAAAATTTTCGAATAAAGTATCTTCAATGTGCGACCTGAAACCATGCTTCGTGACCGCATAAATTATGTCGTCAACAATAAAAACTTACCAACTAGGTTTATTTTCTATATTCTTATCCGTTCATCTACGTAGCTAGTATTTTTAAAAGTGTTCAAACGTATAGAATATTATTTTACACGAATTTCAGTCAACAAAGTGATTTGCTTCGACGTGCCTTTGTGCGAAAATTGGAAATATTAATTAAAAATTTACCGAAGTACATCCGGGAAACTTTCTACATAAATTTTGTATCATTACATCATTCATTCAAAACTGATGGGGGAGGGGAAGGTAAGCAGGACATGTAGATTTCAAATAATGTATTTTATGTTTTTGGTTATGCGAATTTAAATTTGATGTGCTAAATATGTTGTATTCTCGATGTAAATATTCCACTTAAACTAAGAGATAATGTTAAGGACTTGCTTAAAAACTTGCATAAGTACTGACGGGGGTAGAGAGCGTATATTAAGGAACATGAAATACGCCAATTATTAACATATTTATAATTTTATTCCAGGTTTGGAAATAGTCAAATTTTTATCTGAATACATACAACGTCGCATACAACTTCGAAGCAATTTTATTTTGTTTTTATGATGATCATTTATCATGGTCCAAGAGTAATTTTAAGGTAAAATATTATGTTGGGCACATCAGTAGACAGGCAGACAGCTTGTAGTACGTTTGCTAGTGCTAAGTTTCTGTTGCTGAGGTAATATGCTCTTCCAATTTGATTTATTTGTGCAAAACTGCAAATAAGCTCTTCTGCAAATCAGTTAAATCATATCCAATAGCTATAATAGGTGTCATCCCAGACTCCAGACCTGCCAACCTTAGCAACTGAATGAACTGATATATAGGGAGAATTCTTTAAACACTTTATAATTTGGCAGGAGAATTGGCTGTTTAGAGGGAGAAAACCCATCAAATTAGCCCTTTTCATCAGAGCAGTCAGATTAGTGTCTCGTTCAAACTCCTAGCTATACACTCTGAACCGCATGTTAATATAATTTATATAATTCCGGGAATAAAACTTATAGTACAATTGCACTCTTGTGTTTTTGATAAATCGCATCCCTCAAAATGCTTCTCATACAAATCTATTAGTCTATTTTGGTATTATATAAAACAAATAATGAATGTTTCTTCGTGCAATGGTAAGAATATTTTCATTCGGTGAAAGATGGAATGTTCCATTCAACTTGGCTGTCGCCTCGTTGAATGGAATATTCCATCTTTCACCTCATGAAAATATTCTTACCATTGCACTCATAAACATTCATTATTTGTATAATATTTAATTGTTAATCCGGTATTAACCAAAGCCGTGCCTATTTTTCAGTTACAGTAATTATAAAGAAATAATTATATATCCTATCTGAGCAAAGCTATGAAAATTTAATAATCACGCCTTTAACGATGAACTGTCGTAGTCGACACCTGTAAAGTAATGTTAGTATCCAACCGAATGGGTCCTAAGGGTGGGGCCCCCACCCGGCCCATACACACCAATGAAAGGAGGTCCACCAGTCCTTCTGTGTCCAACACACATGTACCTAGGTACCATTTGTACCGTTTACATTTATAACACTGTCTAAATCTTCCTTCTCGTGCATGTACTGTACAACTACTAACATCTAATCTGTAATTTTACACAATATATGAAAAATTAAAGCTGAATAAGGTAAACTGCCCTTTAAGTCTTTTTTTTTATGGTAACTAACTTTTTATATTTTCTATTTGTTTGATGAAAATTGCATCAGTAAGATGCTGATGATGTAAGATGAATAATGTATTTGGGCAATACTCTATAGTAATATCTCACTTCTATGTTAAACCCTTTTTAACACTTTTACTTTATACACTTGCATTTCATTTTTGTGTCGTTTCAGCAATCCTGAAAGACAACAGATATACAGATGCAAACACAAGACTATGAAATAAAGGGTATATGAAATAAAGGGTATACAATAATAGCTGAGAGCGTCTAAAAGAATAGGTTGCAAATCTAAGTTTATACTGAAACGAATAAAATTGTGACGAGCTTTAAAACCTGATGAAGTGATGCCTACAATTGTTTTTGAGTAAACAAGAATTTTGTATTAATTATTCCGAAAATTTGAGTAAAAGCATTTAAAATATTGTAACTTGTTGGGTAATTGTTGGTGCTGTGTAAGGTATATTATTGATTCTTCCAGATGCTCTGAAGTAATTGTACCATTAATTGAAACTTTCATCATGCAATCTTTTTCAATCAATCAATGCCATTTCGGAGTCATGGCAGCTTTGAAAGAAATGAAAAGTTTAAATAACAAGTAAAATATGGTTATGGTTCAACTGTTAATAATATCATCAGAAACATTGAATTGGAATATCTGAATTTTACCTCCAATGTTACAAGTACTTTTTTTACTTAAGTACCTTCACCAGGTCCATTGTTGGTGAGTGAGTTTTTTACAGTCCTAAGTTACTAACATGCAGTTTTGGGCATCGATGCCAAATATAATATGACCTTATCTCCAACACAACTTATAAACCCTTTATGTACAACAAGTTTAATCTATATATTGTTTTCCATTGGTGCAAGCAATAGTTTTTATGCAGATTTTACATTCTTTTAGAATAATAGAGAATAAAAATAAAAAATGTTTCTTATTTAGGCCTGTTGTTGTCCAATCCTTCAGTCATATATCAATGTGTTGTTATTAAATTAATGTATAATATTTCTATTAAAGTATAATAAAAGATCCAACAGGTTAAACCTATTGAAAGGGTCTATATTGCCAAACGTTGAAACCTAGGACAGCAGATCAGCTGATGCAAACTGCACAAACGATCGGCATGTGTCGTTATTGAAATGTCCCATGCATATATAGGAGTTTATGAATACCGCGCAATCATCACATTTTATTCTCAGAAATCCGCCATGTTTGCCATTTTACTCCTCTATATCATTTCAATATGTTTTCGTCTGTTGCAGTTCAAATTTTGAACGATCAACATGCGAAGGTTCAGGCTTGATTTCTGCGCGCATATTTCGCTTCTTTGATTTCATTGCGCACCAATTTTGCGCACAACCCGTTGTTGTTGTTGCTGCTGCTGCGCATTTGCATTGTTTTTGCACTGTTTCTCCCGGAATTTTTCAAGCCTGAATAAGTAATAAAACAATTCTGTACTCAATGCATATTTTATACATTAAATAAAATAATTATTGAGTATTGTATACCGCGACGAATTGTTACTGAATGACTATCTTATATATCATAAAATAATCTTTAAGTACCAATTAAGTACATACTGTATTCAAATTGATATACTTTGTATTAACCTATGCTAAATTAGACGAAGCTCCAAGAAACTCGAAATTTGTTTTCATTTTCTTTGAACTTGGTCGCTAATCCTGGTGATTAAGCAAAGATGCCTCGAAGAGAACCTTATAAGAAGTAGGAGAAACCCTTTTTCTTTCAGTTGTTTCAAGTGCAACCTAAAAAGTCCGCAAATTGTTTTATTTTAAATTGATGAATGGTAGTAGTAGTATCATTTATTTAATCTTAGTGTGGATTAGTGTTAAAAGTTTAATTCATGACATTTTCTGTGGAAGGATACCGGAGTACCCGGAGAAAACCGACGATGTCCATAGAGTGACTCTTTTTACATGAATTGTTTTGGTTGGAAATGAGAATCGAACCCATGATTTCATTGAATTTACAAGTTATTCAACTTTAATTTTAACCACCAGGATTCTATAGTAGTTACCTTTTACCCTTTCACCTTGTCATTCGTCATCATCCCTCTTTTTCTTATTTCATCTTCTGTTGACCACACAGGACATTCTACCATTCTTGGAGATCTTCCATTGGTCTATCTTCTGTTATTTATCTTGTTTGGGACACATTTTCCCCGATACATATTTCCTTGTTGGAATAATGCGTTACACTCATAATAACTTCCATGCTACGAATATGTTAGGTGGTTTTCTATGGACATATTATTCGCGATAACATTATAGTTTCATTTCTCGTTTGAATAATCAATTCATATTTCATAATAGTGTCCCATAGCACCAATCTGTTTTGAGATATAATTCCTTGGAAACACTCGCAATAACAAAGAAAAACAAGTATGGTTCCATTTCCCCTTACGTCAATCCATCACGTTCATACAGTGCTCCATGATACCAACCAATTTTTTTCTTGCTTTTCTGTGGACACAAAATTCGCGATAACAAAAGACCAAGTGCTAGACGAACTGCGGTTCTGTTGAGGTCTTCCATAGACACCTTATTCACGATAACAACAATTCGCAACACATGGTTCCATTTTTCCTTTGGCACTTTGTTCTTGAATTTGATTGTATTCATCTTGAGCGTCTGACTGGTTCGAATTTTGGAGATTCTCGGCCCCCTTGTACACATGCAATTTTACCTAACAGAGCATGCATTTTAGATTATTATTTTACTTAAGCATTAAGCATTGCCAAACCTGGAGTGACCTTAGTGTTGTGGATATTCCATCCAATTAATTCTCCCATCACTATTGACATCGTCTATTCCATATTTTTCCAATGTTCTTCTAATCATCTTAATTAGCAGTAAATGTTCCTTTCTACTTTTCTTATGATCCCAATTTTCTGAAAATGTTCTATCCTAATTTCCATTCTTGCATGGTTACCCTGTGTATCGTATTCATCAAATGTGCATCTCATTCCAATCTAATAACCTATTCTTCCATCATTTTCATCTTAGTAGCTCCAACATGATCAAATGCTAATAATATATTCTTCAATTTTTACCATATTTGTGAAGAATTTCAATATCTGTGACGGGTTTTCAATATACTTGTGAAGAATTGACATGCCACGCAGCCCGCAATGAGAAACACTTCAGAGAAGGAGAGGAATGAAAAGATTTTCCCTGCAAGCATTTCAAACATAGTGAAGAAAAAGGAAAGAAGCATTCGATTTATCGCCAGTTTTATGATTTCTTGATTTCTGTCTTTTAAGATATCAAAGCAACCTACCTACTATTACTCTAGAATTGTGTACCTACATTGTTGTTTAATTGCAAAATATTGTTTGCACATTTATTTATTTATTTATTTATTTATTTAATAGCTTAGCCCTTGTACAAATATTAATTATTAGCACATGGCAGGGAATCTGCAACAGCGCAAGCCAATTACTGCAGCCCCTTTAAAACTTAACAACAACAAACATAATGATAATATAGGAACGAGTTGTTTCCTTGTCCTCAGAGGCAAGTCATAAGATAGGCCCTGGGGACGTGGTTGATACTACTTGACACTAAACCAACTTTTAAACTCATATAATAACGAGAGAAACGATATAACAAGGAATACTGCTTGAGGATAACTTGCATAACCTTACCAAGTTATCCTTACCATAACATAACCAAGTTATCCTTGCTTGAGGATAACTTCTTTATAACTTGCATATAGCTTTGAGTGTCTTGTTTTGCAATGAAATTTGTATCAGTGTCCACTTTTGTATACTTGGGACATAATCTGAACATAATCGTTTGAAAAAAGAAATCAGAATATATGAAACTTGAATGAATACAATAAGACAAGAAGAAACTGTCGACACTCCACCACTGTCACTGACCAAAACTGAAAGATTTCTGAAAATTACGGGAAATCGAAAGACAAAAACTTTGCTGGTTTTATCTGCTTTGCGAAGTGTTCCAATCATTATTTTGTAAACCTTCTTCGTTCACCAATCTTTATTCTTCGGAAATCTAATAATTGTTGGTAAGCATTGAAAATTGAAGGTACCATTGTTCCAATAAGATGCGCAATATAAAGAAATTTCCTGCTATTTATTGATGTGAGTTATAAATATATGGCAAGAAGAAGTAAATGTTTAGGCATCATAACCTTGGCTAACCAGAACTATAGATTTGAATGGTACCAGGAAATAATCGTTTATACATATAGTAACCTTTTGGTAACCAGAGCAACCATAAAATGGTCGAATGTTATAAAGAAACACGGTAGCAAAAATTGTGGACATGGTACCACGGTATAACCATTGAATAACAAAGGCAATTTCCCCAATACGTTTTGTATAGATTGATATAGAGATGAACTGTTGTAACAAACATCGTAAAAAGTAACCTTTTGGTAACCAGATAACATATGGTAAGGAAGGAAATGCAACATAATTCCATGGTGAGATAACACATAATATGACTTTGCAACGAGGATCATGTCTCTTTTCATTGTCGACAAAAGCTTTCCAATTCCTTTCAAAGTCTCTTCTAAATATCTGATATTCCTGGGATTCTTGGTGTTTTTCAATGCTTAATACTTAAGTTTGATTTTGTTAAATGTTCAATAAGATTTTTTTTTAAAAACCGATCGAAAGATCTTATCATGGAAAATCTATACGTGTACACAGGATAAGAAAACCTCCAAAACATTTGATCAGGTAAAGTTCAGATATTTGCACCTGAAACAAATATAATTAAATCAGACATACTATATTTTCGCTAGCTACTCTGGTTTATTTAAATGAAGCAAAGCTTGGTCGAATATAGTCTGCGAACCCCTGCCAGTCATTCCCCACGTACGCTCATGCTTAGCTCCGAGCAAAGAATGAGCGTGGAAAATGACGTTCGGATTCGGAAAAAGTCTTGTTTTCAACGAGTGCGTAAGTGCGTTAAAAAATTCTTCTTTAAAAAGTTCGAAGCATAATTTCAAAATTAGAAACCAAATATGCGCTTCTTTTGATTGATTGGCAGCAAACCTCGGAAACGTGCCTCGGGACGTTTTTTATAAAATATTCTTTGCACTGATCTATATCACTGGATGTATGTCTCATTTTTCGTCTGTCTCGGTCTCCGTCAGTCTATCGATTTTATCTATCCATGGATCTTTTCTCTCTCAAGATTTTATTTAAATGCCAATATTACTGAAATATCTTTAACGTTTCACCTTCAATCTGTGTAATAAATGTTATTGCGCGGCAAAAGTCTGTGAAAACAGCAATCAAATTCGACCATAATGATGCGCCTTCTTCAGTTTTGAAAAGTTTTGAAACCAAAATTGTACGAAAAAATAATATTGAGGCTTAATAATTAATACCTGTACTTATTGACGAGAACCGTTTCGAGGTGCAAACTCTCTTGTTTCACTGAAAAACGACGAAGAAATTATTTTAGCAACAAATATTTTCATTGACACGTTTCGAATGCAGCAAATACTATAAAGTCTATAAGGCACAGAAAGGAGTCACAAATTCTTTGCCTAAATTGACAATTTTCTACTAAATTTCGTTTGGAATGCATTCCTAAAGCTTTAGGATCTCTAGAAAACAAGGTAAAACGCTCAAGGTCCTGCTTTTCGTTTGTTTAAAGCCACAAAAATTAACCTAAACTCGGTAACAAATTTGCCGCTTCGTGAAATTCGGCCGTTGCAACCGTCAAAACTTTGGAGGCCAAAATAGCAGAAACTTTGGACAAAAACACGCAAATTAAGTAAAACGTTACCTTTCATAGCCAATACACGAATTCTGTTGAGTTTCTTTTCGTGTTTTCAGCAGTTTTTGGTCGTGTTTCATCGCGTTTTTCTTTTCAGAATACAAGTTTGAACTGTGCGTCAAAAAATTGATTCCTACGTGTTTGTATTTCGCGCGTTAATAAGTTAATAACGTCTCGTCGACAAACGTGGCATAATTTGATTGGCTACTATTGCTCATGTGATCATATCATAGGATCATATAATGAATCGCAAACCCAATATGTACCAAAATACATCGATGTATCTCCTGTAGTCCCTACACTTAAAGGTGTTTAGTCCAGTTTCACACAGAGATCAATCTTTAGGCATTGTGCCCAGCGGTTCACACAAAATACGTATGCGTGAATGCGCAAGACAAAATTCAAAACAAGCAACATTGCAAAAATATATCAAAGAACCATAATATTTTTATTGTTTTTATTGATTTGGAAGATTTTATTTGTATATTTTATGATATCATAGTAATTTCAGTATTATTGGTTAGCATATAACTGATATTTTTGCAATGGGAGTCCCGAAATTTTACAGATGGCTGAGTGAAAGATATGCTTGTTTAAGTCAAGTCGTGAAAGACTATCAGGCAAGATGATTAAGATTATAGTTTTAGGTATTTTAGGCACTTGTTTTTGTTGTGGAAATATTTCCGTGCACGATTAGATTTTCGATCTATTGTTTATGATGTTTTGAGAGAATTAATTTGCTGTCGTTTGATGTATCCACGCGCAGAAATGCTGAAATCAGTGAAATTATAATTATAATTTAGAACGTAGAACATTTCCAGCATATATATAGAACATTGTGGAATCGCATATAGAAATCTGAGTGCAGGAGATATGTATTGATTTGATCTAGACTTGATTCTGGTTTCAGAGGTTTGTTTTTTTACATTTAAACATAATTCCCCCCGGAGTTGCTTTGAAAAATGTATTGTGATGTCAGCATTATTTTCAAAGGCTGTTTAACTAAAACTATGTTGTATGCACAATTTAGTTAAAAAAGTATGCCTGATTATGACTAGAAGTGACTTCTAATATGACTTTAGAATGAATTTGAGCATCTTGGCTAAAGATCGCCATTATTTTACGATTTCATTTTCGGGTCATGATGGCAGGATGGTGCAACTTTGACATCCAACATGGTGGTAAAAAGCAAGTTTTAGCCAAGTTGTTTAAATTCTTTTTAAGGTGCCGTCGTAAATTTTGTGACTGTATAGCATACAGGGGTTGGATAGTAAGAAATTTGAACCTTTGTTATTGATTTTACAGATTCCTGAATTTGATAATTTGTATTTGGATATGAATGGCATCATTCATCCATGTTCACATCCAAACGATGATGATCCACATTTTAGAATCACAGAAGAACAAATATTCTCAAATATTTTTCATTATATTGAGGTATACCATCCTTTGATACCACAATATTGCAATAGGGTGAGGTGATTAATCGAATATATTAACTGAAAAAAAATTTTTAAAACCAATTCACCTGACGTTGACCAAGGCAAAAAATTGAGGAAAAAAACATGCTTCATTAGTTCAACAGAAGGCAGACTTTGGCAAATACTTATTTTGATATATGTTATAAAAATCAGTTTTACTTTCAGTTTTAAAAATCTTTTTTTTAAATCAGTTTTACCCCTGAACTGCCTCATCCTATGTTGCAATAGTGAAATTTTCTGTTGTACAAAAGAAAAACCACTCTTTTGACACTTTGAGAAGTGTACTTTGAGTTTTAATTTCAATCTACATACAGTCTTATTTTTACCAAAAATTCCGAACTAATCAATATATTTTGCATATCAAGCAGGGCTCAAAATAACGGGAGATAGGGCTCCTGTCAAAGTGACCGGTCAACTTGATGTAACTCGATCAAAATCTGTTTTTGACCGGTCATTGATACACTTACACCAACAGTGAAACAAACTATTAGAAACTTGTTTCGATACATCATAGTTTCACGTTTTAATTCAAGACTTTGGCAATCGCATTGGAAGGTATGAAAATGTGGCCGGTCAAAATGACCAGTGAGGTAAAAACGTGACCAGTCAAGAGGCATTTTTGGCCGGTCGTTGTCCATTGAGCGGCCATTATTTTGAGCCCTATAAAGATTTTTGGAAAGCAAGAATATTCAGTATTTAAAAAACCTAATATTTATCTATATTTCTATATACCATGACAGCCTATTTGATACATGGACAATATATATTTCAATGTAAATATTGTAGCATTTATTTATTGGTTTATTTGCCTATTTACTAGGTATTGTTTAGAATTATTAAGCCTCAAAAAGTATTTTTCATGGCAGTTGATGGGGTTGCACCCAGAGCTAAGATGAACCAACAGAGAAGCAGACGATTTAGGTAGTAGTTATTCGCCTTTTATCTTACTCTGTCCAAAACCTGTTTATTTTTTTTGTAGAGGGAAAAATGGTTAAAATAAGCAATTAGTATAAAATTTAGAACTTAGTTGGTTTTTAAAATAAACTGCCTTCTTTTTGGTTGTATTTGCCTGAAAGAAATAAAGAAAACTAATTACTTAATGTTTTGAGCAGTGTCTGAAATTTATATATTTTCTCGGTATCCAACTAGGACACCAGCCGAGGATTCAAAGTTTGCTATATCCCCCCGGAGAATACAGTATATCCCACATGTGGATACTGGTCACCGGTACCATAAGTATTATACCCCCGTCCCATTCAAATAAGTTTCCATAACTCTCACTGTTACAAATTACAATAACAATAGGAGACTCAAAATACAATAAAATGCACATAATGTACTAGTGATAATCCTTCAACAAACTTCTGTATGTTACGGACTTCTGTGTGTTATATATGTAAGACTGGTGGAAATCTGCTAAATAAATATTCAAAGCTATCAGAAGCCGAGGTGTTTATCATTTTCTTAATGTTTGAAATTTCCTTAGTATCCAGTTGGGGTACAAGTCATTCACAGTTTGGTATCCAAAACCAAAATTTTGGTATCCTGTGGATATCAGGATACTGCAAATTTCAGACCCTGTTTTGAGTGAATCACCTAAGTTAAATACAGTTACCAAACCAATGGAGCTCATGGAGACCCTTTACTCAAACCATAAAAAAATATAAGACCATGAATAATATGAAATTTACTTTTAAGATCTGCCCGAGAAGCAGAGCAAAACATAAAGAAAGCTTTGCAAAAGGGAGAAACTCTCCCAACTGAAGCAAGATTTGACTCAAATTGCATAACTCCTGGTTAGTAATTTTTAACTACTGTACTGTATGTGTAGTTATATTTATCATTCACCTATTTTGGTTATTTTATCAGCTTGAACTTTAACCCATTAAGCTGAAGAGCTTCCCCATTGACAAGTAAAATTGTCTGGCATTAGACAAGCAAAAAATAAGTAGGGCACACTGGGGAACATTGCAGCTCAATGGGCAAACTAGAGACATTGTCAGATTTTTTGGTTAACCCATTAAGCTGCCGAGCTTCCCCATTGACGAGTAAAATCGTCTGGCGTTAGACAAGTAAAAAAAATAAATAGGGTGCATTGTGGCTCAATGGGTTAATTGTTAATACATTGGGCACCAGCGCTCTTCTCTTGATGAGCAGTAAACTTAAAAGTAGTCTGGCGTTAGAGAGTGAGAGTAAAATGACAAAATAGGGCATTTTAGGGCACAATGCAACTGATTGTGTTAAAATCTATTTTAGGCACAGAGTTTATGGTGAGGCTGCATGAACAACTAAAGTATTTTGTTAACAAGAAAATAAGCACAGATCCTGGCTGGCAAGGGTTGAAGATTTATCTGTCTGGTCATGAGGTAACCACAACTGCAATATTCCCAAATATGTTGGCAATTTATTTCACATCAACAATATCTCAAACGTGAGAGTCCAATGTACTATAGGCTGTATTCTACAATAATTAGCTTCCAAGATTTGTATCTCAACTCCCTTAGCCACATGGGCAAATTTCCAATAGAAAGTCCAATTGGAATTGCAATTGAATTTTTTTTAAGGGAAGATTTGTAAGTACAGATTTTGGACACATTTAACCCCTTGAATGCCAGCGCTCTCTCCTTGGCGCGTAAAATTGTCTGCCAGAGTAAGATAATAAGCTAGGGCTCATGCAAATGCAACTTAATGGGGTTAAACCTTAAACATTAAGTTTGGCATATCTTACAGACACCTGGCGAAGGTGAGCACAAAATTATGGACTTCATTAGATATGAAAGATCACAACCTGGTTATGATTCAAACACGAGACACTGTTTGTATGGCCTTGATGCAGACTTGGTGAGTGAATAGACAACTTCATCCTAATCTTGTTTGTTTTACAAGAGAAATGAGAAGAAAAACCTTTTCTTTTTTAGATAATGCTCGGTTTAACAAGCCATGATCCCCATTTTTCACTACTGCGAGAAGAAGTTAGATTTGGTAAAAAAGTGAAAAGGTATAGAAGTTTGTGTGCTGTCTGCTAATGTATCATTTTGTATGCATAGTTAGTACAAAATGCGCAATATACCTAGATTTTGTATGTATGGTACAAAGTGCAAATACAAAGTGCAAATGAGTAGAGAATGCAGCACCATTCTGCACTAAAACGAAATCTTGTTGTGTGTTTTTTTTTTCTTTTAGAATAAATAATCCTGAAGATATAACCTTTCATCTTTTACATCTGTCCTTGTTGAGAGAATATATTGATTGGGAATTTGAATCTTTGAAGGTATTAATAGAATGTCAAACTATTTCCGTTTCTATGTTGAAAGTGATGACCACCATTTATCATCATGAAATTAAGTTGACAACTTTCCTTGTGCATTGTGGTGTTCACAATGGTTTGTGTACTACTCTTGAAGGCCTTAATAATGTACTTTTTTTATTTTGCAGCAGACAATCTCTTTTGGCTATGACTTGGAGAAGATTATTGATGACTGGATATTGATGGGTTTTCTTGTGGGGAATGATTTTATTCCCAATCTCCCAAACTTACATATTAACCATGTAATGTGAAATGATAATAAATAAAGTATATATAACAGTTTAATAAAGTTTTAACTTCATTAATACATGTTAAATTATATTCTATACAGTGTACCACAAAGGGCATGAATCTAGACTTAGCTTATATGAGATATCATTTGTGATTGTTTTGTTGACTTTATAGGATGCTTTACCATATCTCTGGAAAGTATACAAGGATATCATGCCTTCCCTTGATGGTATGTTTACTGCTGATTGTATGATAGTTTTTGGGACTGTACAGTCTGTACATGTAACTCCCCATATCCTTCAAACTTCATTCAGAATTATTATGTGCCCATTACTAACCCACGACATTCTTATTTTCTTCAAACCCAAAGCCGGGAGTACCACTCATACTGTATGCAATGTATTTGAAATTTTCCATATTTGAATTCTTCTAGGTTATCTCCATGATGGTGGCACACTCAGTTTGCAGCGTTTTGAAAATTACCTCACTACCCTGGCAAAGGTGATTAAACTGTGCTTTTGTACCACAATATATCTCATGTATTTGTATCTATATAATTATACTGTTTGGTGGGGTTTTTTTTCAGTTTGATCTTGAAAAGTTTGAAGAGAAGTATGTAGACTTGAAATGGTTAGAAAGCAAAATGGCACAGTCAGAAGAACCGGTATTTATGAATTTTATTTCACCATTCCAGTGTAGGTAGTACTATTCTAATCTGTTGAGATTTGGTTCAAACTGTCTGACAAAAAAACTATATCTGGGTTTCCTATTTCTTGTTGCAACAGACAGCATCACAGATGACACAAACATGTGTTAAATGCGACCTGTATCAGCTTACAGGCTGCACTTTATATAGCTAGAACAAAACTACCTGTAATGTTACAAACTTATGTGAAAAATTGCTCCAAACCTTTCACAAACTTCGGATAAAAAGATTATAGGGTTGGTTATTTCAGTGGCCAAAACCTAAATAGGGTCGGGAAACCAGAACCCAGTTTTTTTGCCTTGGTACCGGTACATGGTAACAAATCTCAAATAACAGACAGTTTTCATTCTGGGCATCCATAGTGCATTTTTAAGGACGAGCAACATGCATAATACCGACCCTAACATCATGAGCCTCCCGCCATAGATCTGTGGTAGGGTGGAATGCTACGCTTCTGGCAAAAGTAACATTTGATGGAGGTTCGGAAACATTTGGCGGACGTAAAGCTAATTCTGTCTGGTGGGAGCCTTTGATTTGGAGAAACACGAGAAATTTTACAAAACAATGGCCCACCGTTGGCAAGTAAAGGTTTGTTCAACGAATTACGAAATGGTGGAGCATCCATACCCGCATCTGGCGAAAGAAATTTTCTCACCAAAAATGCTGGCGGAAAAATGTGGCAGACATTTATATACTGGTTCCGCCGTAACTACCTGAAAAAAAATGAAGAAAAATTCAAAGGTCTGTGCACAAAATAGAACAATAAATATTTCATTTCTGTTTTGTTTACTGTTTAGGAGTCATCAGAGATGTCAGACGTGGATGGTAGTGTACAGTCAACATCAAGTGAACTGTCAAATATGTCATTAAACTCTGACAAGAAGGAAGGTGAGAAGTTGACGGAAAATCTTCAAGAGAAAGGAGACTTAGGCGATGTACAATCAACATCAAGTGAACTATCAAATACTTCATTAAACTCTGACAAGAAGAAAGGTGGCAAGTTGTTGGAATATCTTGAAGAGAAAGGAAAATTAGATGATGAAGAGGATGATGGAGATTTTAGTGAAGAACATGAGAAATATAAATTACGATATTATAGAGAAAAGTTTAAAATTGAAGAGGATGACAGGTAACTACCCGTCGTAGGCCTGGATCTTAACTGACAGACAAATTTGGCTAACATTTGTTTATGCCAACTTTAGATAACTCGCATGCCTAATAGACAATTCCCATTATAGACTAATTTTAAAACTATAGGCAAAGAAATGCAAATACATCACCACAGCTAGAAAGAGCATACTAAAATGAGTAAAATTGCAAAGTTTGGTTGCGAAATGTTGTAAAATGCGGAAAATATAGCCTTGCAAATTTTGTATACTTTTGTATTGCGTGCGGAAATTGCTACCATTTTCGGCCCAAATGTGTTTGGGCCGAAAATGGTAGCAATTTCCGCATGCAATACAAAAGTATACAAAATTTGCAAACTTCTTTGCAAGGCTATATTTTAGAGGGACTCGGGGGGGGTCTGGGGACATGATTTTTATTTTGTATTTCACATTTAATTCTATAGCTGTCAAGAACTTGTCAAACAGTTGTGTTTTAAGTATGTGGAAGCTATTCAATGGATACTGCATTATTACTTCAATGGCATTTCATCATGGGGATGGTAAGTTTATACATAGTACTATTTATATCGAGTGTAAATTCCCAAAATCCTAGAATTAAATCGTCTTTTCCAGGTTTTATCCATTCCATTATGCGCCCTATGTATCAGACATTAAAGATTTTCAAGATCATCCTCTCTCATTTAACATGGGCAAAGCATTCCTTCCGTTTGAGCAACTCCTTGCTGTGCTTCCTGCTGCCAGTAAGACGTTATTACCAGAACCATTTCAGAGTCTGATGATCATGGAGCATTCACCAATCATCGATTATTATCCACCTGAGTTTGAGACTGACCTGAATGGCAAGAGACAGGATTGGGAAGCTGTTGTTTTAATCCCGTTTATCGATGAGGTTTGTCATTTATTAAAGACACAGTTCAACCTTTTGAATGACGGGTTTTAAGGCGCATTACAATTAATTGAAAAGCTAACTAGGAAATCAATTAAGCATAATTCAAGATCAGTGATCTCATTGTTTTTAACATCTTTTAACATTCTTAATGATGAAAATATTGAGTTCACTCATCTTGAATTATGCATAATTGATTTTCCTAGTTTGTTTTTTTTTCAATTGAAAGGGTAGTAATGCGCCGTAAAACCGCCATCACTCAAAATGCTGACTGCACAGTTCAGTCTTTTGAATGATGGTTTTTAAGGCGCATTTCAACCCTTTTAATTGAAAAACTAACTAGGAAAATCAATTATGCATAATTCAAGATCAGTAAACTCAATGTTTTTAACAATAAAAATGTTTTTAAATGTTAAAAACTCTAAGTTTGCTGATCTTGATCTCGCCACAGCTGGGGTTTTTTTCAGAGGCGCCGGAATATCGATAATTGCGGGGGCAGATATTCATATATTCGTGTTCACAGACTGTAAAAACAATCGGTTTCAAAAGAAATTAATCGGGCAAAACACGAATATATGAATATCTAACCCACCATCGATGAACCCGGCGCCTGCTCTTTATACCCAAAGTTTTATTCAGTACCCGCATTTCCATTATTTAGACAAGATTACTGGATGCAATGGAAGCCTTGTATCCTAGGTTAAAGAAAAGTGAGAAAGATCGTAACAGACACACTCCATGTTTACTCTATACTCATGATCCTGAGAAATCTGAACATTATCCCTCTTCACTGCCTGGTTCATTTCCTGATTTGGAATGTTGTCGTGCGAGGTATGATCGTAGTGATCCTTTGGACTTTTGCTGAAAACAACAACAACAACAACAACAATAGTTTATTAACACTCAAAAAGATACAAATGCATTCTGTTATAGATAAAAAAATTACAAATGAGAGTGAAGGCCACCTGTGATAACCATAAGGGCTAAAACAGCGTTTAGTTATTTGTTTGTTTTTCTAACGGTGCGCCACTGCCACGTTGGATAACAGTGGCAGACACTAGGGAGCGCCCTGTCCAGCCGCCTCCCCCCGCCCAATATTTTCTGAAAGCCTTTGAAAAAAAAACTTTAAAGAACAAAGATTTCAAATGACAAAAGTTGGTTGTAGGTTGGCAACTTAACCCCCCCCCCCCTCTCGTCCCCTTACCCAGTGCTGGGTAACCTATGGCTATGAGGGTTTGGTCGATCAGCCACTCAAACAGACAGACAGACATTGACTTAAAGTTTGTTTTTCTTTTAGTTGCGAAACGGTTCCCATTGACAAATACCGCCTTTCTAGAGTTGAAATAGTCAAAGGTCAGTGTGCAAGTATTTTTAGAGATAAAAATTATTTTAACCCTTTAAGTGCCATTGCGTCCTAATGAGCGCCACTTAGTTATTGAATTATGGGTTGAATAACAATTTCTGATGCTGGTACTCGTTCTTTTATTTTTAGGGTTGCTGCCAGATGTCAAAATAGACGTGTATTTTCCTGGTTTTCCCACCTTGAAACATATTTCACATTCAGTGAGTAGATTCTCGTTGTGCAAGAACAAACCATCCGTTAACTATATCACAGCAAAAAATCATTTTCTTATTAAGAAAATAATTCTTAATTTAAGAAAATATTTCTTTAAATGAGAAGCTAATTTTCTTAAAAATGAAAAACGATTCTTAAAATAAGAAATATTTTATTTGCAAGACATTTTTTCTTGAAATAAGAAACATAACTTAGATTATATTTGTTTTCTTAAGATAAGAATATGTTTTCTTACGATTTCTTCATCTTCATATCAAATCATTTTCCTAAGAAAATATGATTTTCTTGTTTTACGAAATAGTTTCTTAATTAAAACAAGAAGTCAAATTCTTAACATAAGAAAAATGGTTAATAAGAAATTATTTCTTAAATTTTCTCGAAGAAAGAAAGTTTAAAATTTGTTAAAATTTAACTACAGGAACTAGGAATGGCATTCTATTCTGGGACCGTTGTATCAAGCCCGTTTAGCTTAAGAATATGTAGTTATGAACATTATAGGTTGAAATGTATTACAGCATGTATTTAACATAGCTGTTTTAATTTATTTCAGGGTGAACTGAAGAAAATTGGTGTTAAAGTTTTTCAAATGCACAGTCGTGGTGAAAGTATGGTTTTAAAAATTGATGAAACAGATGAACTTGTGAGTAGAGATTCAGAATCATCTTCAGAGATATGAAAACTATCGTTTTGTAAGCACAAATATTCATGCTTTTCTAGCTGTTACTGGTTATGGACAGCAGATAATGTTTAACTTCTGAGCCATAAGCAAACTAAACATTCCAACCAACATAACGAAGCATGTTCTGTGTATCGTTTTTAGGATGTGAAGGAGATTTCAGATTCGTTGTTAGGCAGGCCATGTTATGTTGGTTGGCCTCATTTGGTCGAAGCTTTCGTCACTACCGTTAGCGATGGCAGTAAAAAGTAAGTGTATCGAAGGGTTTTATAGAGAATTTATTTACGAGTTTACATCCTCCGTTGCAAAACTTCGAAAGTATTTAAGTTCTGCTTGTGTTTTTCAGATACACGCATTAAAACGCACACGTTGTAACAAATTTAGCTTAAGCACATCTTTGGCAATCAACTTTTGTTCTTGTAATTTAGATATCTGATTGCAAAAGATTCGCCTGAGAATGTCGTAGAAGTGACGCTCACTGAAAGCGATGCATCTGTTTGGAAGAAAACAGTTTCTTGTGAAAAACAGTCGTACGTCTCTGCTATTAGTCTTACTGTATACAGTATGTTGTTGGTGAAACATTTTACAGGGATATAGCAACAAACATTTGCTAGTCACTTGAAAGAACTATTAAAATTATGGGGTGAACCTTTTATAAGTTCACACTACAATATCGACTGTACATGCTTATTTCCTGTATACTTTTGCAGACATCTTGAGAAGAAAGCAGTTGACATTGGGATGACTCACATTTTAATCGAGGCTTGTCAAATACAGGGAAAAAAGTATGTCAACGTTTTAATCGTTCTAAAATTATAAATCTTTTTACATGATGTAATTTTTATTTCTGATTTCGTTTTAATTTATTTCTAATTGCATCCTACAGCTTCTTTTGATTTCTTTCTATATCGATCAGATATGTCTGCGGTGCTAAAGGAGATGTATGCTTGGAAAAGAAGTGGTCTGACTGGGCTGTAGCTTATCCACTTCAAGTAACTGTCAAGGTAGATCATTGCTTATAGTTACGCCCCCCGCGCCAAAGAACCTTCTTCCTCCAAATATGACTGGAATAAATAACTTTCCGGGGGAGCTTGATTTTGTGTACTTCATTAATTGGCCATCATTTCTCGCAGAATATCAGCGTGTGCGATGAAACCGATGCTGGAGCTCAATGTACAACGGTCTCAGATCTATTTCCTGTTGGAACAGAATGTTTTATGATGGCAATCCCTCATTACGGGTCATCAGGCAAGGTAGGTTCTAGGTTTTTAGACTTGCTTCACCTGATATGAACGTTTCATGCCGGGTTTCATACTCTGCAAAGCATAACTTTCTGTATTCATGTCAGATGCGGTTAGCACATATTGAACCTTACCGGTTAGTTGAAGTCGATTTTGTCCTCCTGACGGATGTGACTGAATGAGTGACATTCAAAAGACTCAGAAACGTATCTGCTTCCAAACGCGATGTCATACTTTTGGATCGAATTTACTCATTCGCATCGGTCAGGAAGGGAAATTCGCCGACAGTGTGAAGCAGTCTTAAGCATGCTACAAACTCAGTAATGCAAGGGTATAGGGGATTTACTTAGAGTTATGACACAGCTGATTCTCTCCTGTGCTTCAGGGTTTTTTTTCCAGGTCCTTCGGTTTTCCTTCTTTCACCATAAACTTAAACCTTCAAACCTTAGTTGTCATGCTTGTATGTCATGAACCTCTGGTGAATTGGGCCATCATTTCTCATATAAGTTAACTCAGAATCAATTGGTATATTTAAAAGACAATATTCAATATTTCTCCTATCCGAACAAATTTAGAAAAATGACAAATTAATATAGTTTGTAAATAGTCTTGATTATATATTATGTATTGTAATGTGTGTTATTTAGAGACACAATTTGTTTCTTTTGGCTTATCTCATTTAGTTAATATCATGAAATAGTAGACAGTGGTCAAGTAGAAAGCTATGCTCCTTTGACCACTGTGTATTGATTTTATCTTTTTCTTTTCGTTCTATTACTGTATCTATTCCATAACCGCTTGTAATTAATCTAATGAAATAGTGCCATTAAAGAATCTTGAATCTTGAAATCTTGGGCAACCACACCCTGTGTAATCGACAATAAAGAACTCATCACATCTTAAATATTCCTTGCAGGTTATTGAAGTTGATTCAAAGACAAACCGAGTGAGAGTTCAACTGACTGTCGTGCCAGAACCAGATCTGGTGTCCTTGATCTTGGACAAAGATGACTACGCCGAGAACTACATACCCGCGCATATTATGGCCAAGAGACTGGGGTTGACATCACAAGCACTGGGCCAGATCACTGGAAAGGTTTTTCTTGCTACTGGCGACAAAGACACGTAAGGACTTTATATTGACATAGGAAAATACTATTTCATATTTAGGACAATACTTTTTCTTCGATATGCTGAGATAATATATAATTATGAATTTATAGTAAAAATTGTTTAATTATATTTTAGTTCCAGTAAAGTTGACATTGGTTTGAATTTGAAATTTTCCAAGCAGGATAAGGAGGTAGACAATCCTAGCACATTTTACTTGCATGAAATATATTGAATTAAACTTTTATTAATTTGATTGATTTTGTGTGAAAATTATTTTGTCAGGTGTTGGGATACGCTCGTAGGAACGGAGGAAGTTGGAGTTATTCACCAAAAACTGAGCGAACAATTTCAATGTACCAAGAGAAGTACGGCGTTCTTCTTTATTTTTCTCGCTGTTCTTCATTCCTTCCATCCAGGGTGTTAGCCAGAAGTAAAAAAATCTGCGTTTACCTGAAATTGGGAAATTTATTTTAGCCCGAAGCCGGGCATTTCTTTGCGGGTCTGGGGGCATGCGGTTGCCCTCTCGATTTTTAAAATTTTTGTGTCTTTGAAATGGCATTTCCCACATTTTGGGAGTAATTTTGAGCAAATGTAGTTATAAACATGTTTTTAATATCGTATTAACAACATTGAATTTCTATAACTATTTTTTGGCTGACCCAAATTGGGAAATTGCGACCTCAAGGTAATTGGGAAATCGGCGTTTATCGCGGAATTTTTGACTGTAGCTAACACCCTGCCATCGTATCTTAGTTTCCAGTCTTTCCAACATCATCCATTTGTTTTTCCTCCATACCTTTCTTCCATAATCCTACTCTTCTATTATTTTTTCAATTCTTTCTTTTATACCCTTTCCCAGATCATTTCTTTTTTTTCCTGATTTCCTTCATCGCATCTTCCTCAATTCTCTCCATTCCTGTTGCTCTATTTTTTCATTTCTTCCTTTTCCTTTGAAAACTGAAGTCTTTCTAATGTTTTTCCATCCTTTATTTCCCTCTATTCTAATCTTCCTTTATCCTTGCTCTTCATTCCTGTTTTCCAGTTCTTTCATTTCTTTCTTTCTTTCTCCATCCATTTCACTCCATCTGTTCATTCTATATTTAAATATTTTTTCCCCTAGATTTCCCCAGGTCTTCGATATTTTGTCAAATAATTCGACCGAAGTACGTAAAGTGTCGGACGTGTTTCCTGATAATAAAAAGTATGTAGAAGCTGAACTAACTTGTTTTATACTGGATAGCTCTATCACTTCTAAACTGTTTTCTCTTGAGGTCCTGTAAGAGCCATCTCTTATTGGTCGAGTTTTATCTATCTATACTAGATAGCTCTATCAGGTCGATACCGTTCTCTCTTGAGGTCCAATAAGGCCCGTACCTAATTATTCCAGTGTTACTACATGAGAAGCAGGGAGAGCTGTAGTGTTTGGTAAAATCAAACTGATAGCACTCTTCTCATACGAAGTTAGTTAGAAAATTGCACATTACCGAAATCAAACCCCAACTTGCTTAAGATCAATATACATTATTTTCACGCAGTTCTAAAGCGCTTGCTGAAGTAGAGAAATGGTTAAAAACTCTCCCCAGTCACAATCAGAAAGCTGTTAGCTGTGGTAGTTCAACTCTGGATGAACCACTTGTAAAACAAATTGAAGAAACTGTTGAAAAATTGAAGGTGAGAAATATTCTTAATGTAGCTAACTTATGGGTTGTGTCACGAAGCATTACAGGTAGACGATTCATTTGACAGCACTTCCTTGCGATATGTACATGTAGTTTTGAGCTTTTATACAAGGCCGGATTTTGGTGGAAATAGTGGGGGAGGTGGACAAGAATTTAGGGGAGGTGCAGCGGTCTAGCTCACGACTGCCATGAAAATGAAACCTCGGGCTTAGAATGGGCCAAAGTCAACGACGTGACGTATGCATGTAGTGTACATACGTATCAGTGTATTAATTAATTATGACTGTACAACTCATCCAATTTTACCCTTCATTACAATTACTGCAAAGTTTCTTTCAAAACATTGCATTAAAAGGGTACTTGAGACGAAGATGAATGGCTATCTGTTTCAATTTTACAGAAGAACGTTCTTATGAAGTGTACATACTAAGACCCTAAGCAACCAAAAAAATGCCTCTCTTTGATCTGTCATTGAAACTTCCCCAAGGGGAGGTGCATGCACTGCAAAAAATGAAGTACTTGGCAAGATTTTTTTTCCTAATTTAAGATAATTATTCTTATATCAAGATTATATTTCTTGTTTTAAGAATAGTTATCTTGGTTTAAGAAATTATTTCTAGGTTGAGAAACATGTAAAATTAGTTTTTCTTAAATGAAGATATTATTTCTTGACGCAAGGCTTTGTTTCTTGTTTCAAGATTTAAAACTTAATTTCAAGAAAATTTAACTTGGTATAAAGTGGTTAGAAAGGTTATATCATTACCTGAAGATTATTTATCTTGTCTTTAGAAAAATAATCTTAGGTTTGAGAAAAATTATCTTTTAAGTTTTCTTGTTTCAAAAATCTTAATAAGATTTATATTTATCTTGGTAAGATTAATACTAATCTTGCTAAGATTTTTAGTAAGATTCGTTTCATTTTTGTAAGATTATTTTTCTTTTATCAAGAATAATTTTCTAGCCAAGAAATATTTTCCTATGTATGGGACAAAAAGAAAAATTATCTTAAATCAATTTTCTTGGTAAGATTAAATTTCTCAAATCAAGAAAATTTTTCTCGATCAAGAAAATCTTATCTAGAAAAATTTTCTTATGTATGGGACAAGATAATTCTGCTTAAATTAAGAAATTTTTGCTCAAAACAAGTTTTTTTTTCTTAAAATAAGCTTTTCATTTTTTGCAGTGTGACTTTTCAGGGGAGTTGCAAAACGATCTCATGGGCGGTGCGCACCTCCCCTAAAAATCCGGCCATGCTTTTATATCTATTTGTCTTTAGGAAGAGAAACGGAACAGAAAAAATGTGAAAGTCAGAGTAAAACCTACCGTTTTGTACCGAGTAAGTTTGTCGTTGCATCCAAGGTTTATTTTAATGATGTGCATAATAGAATAATGACAAGATATACGAAAAACTATATAGATCCATTTGTCTTCTTGTTACATGACAGAAGTATTCTTATTTTTAGCCAATGAAACAACTTGGACAAGTGCCTCCTGACCCGGATGCAGATTTTGAACTTTTTGATCGTGTAGTAAATGTCCGTACCTTGGGTGTTGCTCCGTACGCTTTGAAAGGGACTATTGTTGGCATTCATCAAGGTACTCTCGGATTATTCAGAGATTTTTGTTTTGATTGACTAAAACTAAACTCAAGAGTTCTAAACTATTTATCCTAGAGGTTTAGCGAGGGCATTCTCTACACACGTAAAAACGCACAAGTTGTAACAAACCTGCAGCAGACTTGTAGCAATGCTGTTCCAACAATTTATCAACAGGATGTGTTCGCACTGCTTGTTCCCAGCTTGTTGACAACTTGTCAACTGGGTTTTCACTTGTTTCCATTTACCAAACTGACATTACGTAATTTGATCAATTTCTAAAGTTGTTTCTTTCTGGATTTTTTTATTAATTTAGTTAGGGTTAGAGTTAGGGTTGCGGTTAGGGGTATGGGTTAGAGTAGGGGTAGGGTTTGGGTTAGTTACATAGCCATTTAACACTTCTTCAACGTCAGTTTCACAGATGGAAACTAGTGCAACTCTTTGTCGGTAACTTGCTACAAGCTTGTTACAACTACATTTTTACGTTCAGGTAAATCAGAAAATGATCTAGTAAGTTATGAAGTTCTCTTTGACGAACCTTTCATGGGAGGCCAGTCATTAAGGTGAGAGGGTGACAAGTTTAATGAAGTCGCATTGACTGTCGTGCTTAGTTTTACATCAGAATCTGGATTGGGATGAGGATTATGATTGGCGTTATAAAATTGCATGAGCTAAGGATTAAAGGCACAGTTCAACCTTTTGAATGATTGTTTTATGGTTTTTAAGGCGTATTTCAGTCCTTTTAATTGAAAAACTAACCAGGAAAATCAATTAAGCATAATTCAAGATCAGCAAACTTAATGTTTTTACCACTTTAAAACATTTTTATTGTTAAAAACATTGAGTTTACTGATCCTGAATTATGCGTAATTGATTTTCCTAGTTTTTTCAATTATAAAAGGGCCGAAATGCGCTTTAAAAACCATCCTTCAAAAGGCTGAACTGTGCCTTTTATAAGGCCAGTCTACACGATGCAATTGTCATTCTGGCGTATGAAAATTATTCCTCTTTTTTTAGTTTTTGGTAAAATTTCTTTACGTGTGTTTATTTACATATGCCGGAATATGAATCGTATACAACTAATTGTTATCGCGTAGATTGGCCTTCAGGAATATATTTAAATAGTATATTTGCCAACATAGCAACTGGCAATTGACCTGAATTCTCAAACTTGCACTTTCTAGAGGTTCAAGTGCGTTTGAAAACAAGCTGTATGTGATGCCAGGATGGTCCTTATTAAATCTTTCCCACGGTATTCGCTTGGAATGTAAGAAGAAAGGTCTTCCCTCACCGCTTGTGCAAGCTCAACAAAAACGTCAACAACCGCAACCATCCGGGCATCACAACAAGGGCGTGCCCGCTGACTACAAGCCCAGTAACAGAGGAGGCGCATATCATAGAGATTTTTACTCCGCTTCGCAAACTCCCCCAGCGAATACCAATGCGAGTCCAAACGGTCGTTCTCCGAACAGCAGCGAACACTATTCAAGTCCACGGCATCGTTTCGCCAGCCCAGAATTCAACTCCCCCGGTCAACGTCCTCACTTTTCTCCGCGATGGGACACCCCCCGGTGAGTCCCTATTCTATGATGTTACGCTTGAGACTATGGTATTTGTCACGTGTGTCGACTTACTGAAACGCATCCATTTGTTTCCAGCTATTTTGGCACCGAGATTTCTTATCTTTTTCCTTTTTGTTTTATTTTCTATTATATTAACCATGTCATGCCTATTTTTCAGCAACCATTCTGGATATAGGCCATTAAACTCTCAGGTGTGTTATTTTTATGGTGAAGCAGGAACGTTTATTAAGTCTTCATGTCTTAAAAGTGTCCTCAATTAGTTTTAAATAGCTCTAAGACATTGACACTTATTGTCGATTTTCAAGTCGCTTTTCAACACGCGGTTCCCAAGTTCGTTCGAATATTGGGCGTGAACTTGGCAACAAAGTTCGCAAGTACATTTCACTCTTTGAACTTCTATACTGTAAACAAATGTTCATAGTTCAAGTTGAAATTAACAATTCAATGCCAATGGAAAGTTCTTGGTCCAGTGGTCTACCAAGAAGGTTTGTATTTCAGTGAATTGGTTATTATTATTGAGTATGAACATTTGTTTACAAACAAACTTAACAAAGTTCAAACATTGAAATGTACTTGCGAACTTTGTTTCGAAGTTCGCGTCCAATTTCCGAATTTGGAAACGTAATTGCCAAGTTCGCAACGAACTTGGGACTCGCGCGTTGAAAAGTGACTTGAAATCGACAATAAGTAAAGTAGTTATTCATTCATGAGAATGACTTCTCACGTTGTGTATGTTTCAGGTTTCTCCACGAGATTCAAGTCGTTTTTATACACCTCCACGCCACTCGCCTGGTAGGTACTCTGACAGGAAGACTTACAATATCGTGGTTTAAGTACTACTTAAAACACGGGCAGGAGTGCTCTATCAAATATAAAGGCGTCAGACGAGTGTCTTATATCTGGTATAGCACGGACTGCGAGTGTTCTGAATGGCTTTATCCATATCTTATGAGTTCATTGCATAGATATCTTATATACACTAGATAGCGCATCTCTTTTAGTAAAATTGAAGCCAACAGTATTCCAGCGGTTACCCCCATTTGAATAGATGGCGGCCATGTTGGAGTTTCCCACTCGCTAATAAACGCTTAAAAAACAACAATAACTTTCATCATTTGAATAGTTTGAAAACGTATTTGGAATAGGTTTAACTTAATGTTTAAGTTCCCTGTTTAAGAAATAGACAACATACGAGTCTTCTCATTTCATGGGAATATCCTGAGTCTGCAATCACGGCTTCAATTTTTGAATTTCAGAATAATTAGATGCACTATCTAGTGAATATAAGATATCTATGGTTCATTGACGAAGTAATTTTAAAAATCATCGTTGTCTAAGTCGAGGAAATCAAAGCTAAAGTTTATGTAAATTTATCACATATAAAACCGCCAACATGGCAGTGATTTCCATTGTCTTTTCTTCATGAATTATTGGTGAGTTTTTTTAATATAATTTAGTTTCCATCATTAGCGTCCCTCTGTCTGACTGATCAGGATTTTTTTACAGATTCTAGACAGACGATGAACACTAGCGAACAATTGTCTGCTCAGGTAAATATATTCGAATTTAATATCGTTTGTGTTTTTTGATGGTTGTTTTTCACGTGTCATTCTTACTTTCAGGAAAGTGAACGTGTTATTCGCCAGCTACTTCACTTGGATGGGTCACCTGGATCAAACCCGAATCTCAATTTCCCTCACGCCACGTTTAATGCACCTGGTAAAACTTATAGTCACTTATGTTCAGTATGTGTATGTACTATTTAAAACACGAGGAGGAGTGTTTTATCAGATATAAAACGCGAGGCGCAGCCGAGCGTTTTATGTTTGATAAATCACGACAACGAGTGTTTTGAATAGCTTAAAATACGACTACAAAAGAATACTAATTAGGATGAACCATTATAGAATCATACTAATTAGGATGAAGAATTATATAATGCCACATGCTTTATCAGTTATAAAGTCACTCCACGTGACATATTATGGCTGACATGTTTGCCACAAGGTTTATGAATTATTAAAGGCACAGTTCAGCCTTTTGAACGATGGTTTTTAAGGCGCATTTGAGCCCTTTTAATTGAAAAAACTAACTAGGAAAATCAATTAAGCATAATTCAAAATCAGTAAACTCGATGTTTTTAACAATATAAATGTTTT